CGCCTCGCCGAGCCGCCCGCGGAGAGGGGGGCGCGGGTTCCTGGTCCCAGCCCAGCTGCTGGCTCACCCCAGATCCTGGCCATCGGTCTGTCTGCCGTGTTGTGTGCCCCAGGCTCCGCTTTACCCCTGCTCAGCCTCTCGCCTCTCATTTCCTCCACCGCAGGACGGGGCTGCTGTGCGATTAGAGAGGGGGCCGGAGAAGGGGGCGCATGGGCCCCAGGAACCGTGATTTCCAGAGGCCCGGAGGAGGGGACTCTCGGAGCTGCGGGGCCAGGGATCAGGCCCTGGGCTTCCCGGGGCGGGCTTGGGGAAGCAGGAGATGCCGCACGTCTGGTGGCCGAAAGGTTTTGTTTGCTCTGGAGCCTGCATTTCCCAGATGCTTGGGGTCCCTCCTGGAAGTAACAGTGACGGATACTTACTGAGCACAGCGCGTGCCAGGCAATGTTGTAAGCACTTGTAGGTATGAACACATTCTCTCTTCACTACAATTCTATTCATTCATTCATTCATTCATTGGACAGATGCTTACTGAGTGCCTACTATGTGCCAGGCATGTTCCAGACGCTGGGAATAGGGCAGTGACAAGACAGACCAAAACCCTGCCCACATCAAGTTTACATGTGGAAGGGGAAGACGGCCAATAGAAGTAGGAGTAAGAGATGTAGTGTGTCAGATTGTGAGAAGCGCTGCAGAGAAGGGACAGGGGGATTGAGAGGGCAGCGTTTGGGGGGGGAGGGCAGTTTTTGAGAGGGTGTCCTGGAGGGCCTCACTGAGGAGGTGACATTTGAGTATAGATCACATCTGGCTCACCATCCCCAACTGAGAATGGTTTTTACAGAAGAGCATTTGCCATCAGTTCCATGATGGGGAGCACTAACTTTGATGTTATCCTCACAGAAGAATTCCGTTCTTGTCCTTAGTTGACCTAGTGTTACCAAAAAACAAAGCAGAAAAACAGCCCTCAGTTCTTGTTATATTTCACATTTCATCGACGAGCGTTTTGTGGAAATTTCTTTTGTCTCTTGGTATATATAAGTACCTGCATTATATTCTCAGTGTTGTCTCTTAGCCCACCAAGCCTAAGATATTTACTAGCTGGCCTTTACATAAAAAGTCTGCTGACCCTGATAGAGACCCAGGAGGCGAGGAAAAGTGCAGTGTCTGGGGACAGAGAGAACAGCCAGTGCAAAGGCCCAGACTAGGGAAGAAGACTAAAGGGAGGAACAAGGAGGCAGACTGCCTGGCGTGCTCCTCAGCTGTCACCGTGTCCGTAGGGAGCTTTGTAACTGAGTTTGCTACCGTCACATGTGGGAAGGAGGAAGCCAGAGAGACTGGAAACAAGAGGAGTCAAAGCATTGTGTCCAAACTTCAGCTCCCCCCCCCCTTTTCTGCCTGTTTCAGCAGCTGTCCCTTCTAGATATATAGAGCTCTGAGCACCAGATTGCCTTGGGCAAGCTACGCAAAACACAGAATAAAGACTACATTTTTTCTTTTTAAAATTGATTTTAGAGCGGGAGGGAGAGAGAGACAGAAACATCAATGAGAGAGGAACGTCCATCTGCTGCCTGCTGCACGCCCCCTACTGGGGATCGAGCCCACAACCCGGGCATGTGCCTGGACCAGGGAATTGAACTGGTGACCTCCTGGTTCATGGGTTGACACTTAACCACCGAGCCACAGCAGCCGGGCAAAGCTGCATTTATAAGCCTCCCATATATCTAAGCGTGGCACTAACTTCTGGCCAATAAAATATAAACAAATGTTGGGTATGAATTTTGGGAAATACCCTTAGAAGGAGGACAAGCCCTTCTTTATCTCTCCCTTCTCTCCTGGCTAGAATGTACACATGGTACCTGGAGCTTGAACAGCCATCTTGGGACATGAGGAACACGCTCAGGAGAAGGAACAGGAATTTAGAAGAAAGTTGGCTCCCTAGAATTTGTAGGGCTGACATCACAGCTCTTGATGCAAGAGAAAAATAACCTGCACTTATAATTAAGCCACTGTCATTTTTGGTCTCAGTTATTCATAGAAAAACCTCATCCTAACTAATTCAATTGGTATTCTCTGGGGCTTTATTTCTGGGTGGTTATGAATATAAGTTTTGCTTTAATGTTTTTAATTTTTTTTTTTTTTTTTAGCGAGAGGAGGAGAGAGAGAGAGAGAGAGAGAGAGAAAAACATCAGTGTGAGAGAGAAACATCAATCTATTGCCTCCTTACACTCCCAGACCTGCGATGGACTGGGAATCAAACCTGCCACCTTTTCGTGTAGGAAATGACACGCCAAGTAACTGAGTCACACTGGCCAGGGCATGAATGTAAGTTTTTAAAGTAATTTCTTGTTAAGACTAAATTCCTTTTTATTTCTACGTCTCTATGTTCCATTACTGGTTTCTGTTCAAGGGTACACTGTGCTATGTTTTTCCTATACCTATATACCTATGATGAAGTTTAACTTATAAATTAGGCACAGCAGGAGATGAACAACAATAACTAGTAATAGAAAAAGAACAACTGTAATGATATAACGAGATAAAAGTTACATGAATGTGGTCTTTCTCACTTTTTTACTTAGAGGAAGCACTGTACAGCTTCTCTTCGGTGTATCCAAATTGCCAGCATCACTAGTCCTGTGCTCTGGGGCCATCAAGTAAAATAAGGTGACCTGAACACAAGCACTGCAACTCTGAGACACTCAACCTGATAATGGAGATGGCTACTAAGTGACTAGTGGGTGGGAGCGTATTGAGTGTGGGGACGCTGGACAAAGGGATGATTCACGTACCTGGCAGGACAGAGCAGGCCAGCGTGAGATTTCATCATGCTACTCAGAACGGAGGGACATTTAAAACTTAGGAATTGTTTATTTCTGGAATTTTCCATTTAATATTTTTGGACCACAGTTGACCATGGGTAACTGAAACCGCAGAAAGCGAAACCGTGGATAAGGGGGAACTACTGTATTATGAATTTAGCTACTATAAACATTTGAACAGTTATTTTTTTGTGTGTGTGAACATAAATCTTTATTTCTCTGGGATAGATGCCCAGGAGTGCAATTATTGGGTCATATGGTAATTGCATATTTTATTTTTTAAGAAACCGCCAATCTGTTTTCCAGAGAGGCTGTAATATTTTACATTCCTACCACAATGTATGAATGATCCGGCATCTCTGGGTCTCTGTCAGTATTTGGCGTTGTCACTATTTTTAATTTTTGATAGTCTGTTGGGTGCACAGTGATACCTCACTGGAGTTTTAATTTGCGTTTTACTAATGGCTCTTTTCATGTGGGTGTGGATTTAAGATTTCAGAGAGAGGAAGGGAGATGGAGAGAGAGAGATAAAAACATCGGAGATGAGAGAGTCATTGATCGGCTGCCTGCAGCCCCAGCCCGGGCCTGTGCCCCGACCAGAATCCAGCCCTGGCCTCCTGGGTCCTGGGTCTGTGCTCAACCGCTGAGCCACGCGGGCTGGGCTTTTTTTTTTTTAAAGGTAGCACTATTATCTCTAACTAGTGGCTAGTAACGTTAAGTGCAACGTTTATGTTAAGGAGTTGAAATTTTTATTGCAAACACGTAGGGAGGGAAAGGCCGAGAAAGGCCGAGGCCAGGCGCGGCGGGGAGTTGCGGTGCCAACAGCCCTGACCCCGGGTGACCCCGCTCGAGGCGCCCGGCTGATTCCCGCAACAGCGGGGCGGGGCGCAGCGGCCGCGAGGGGGCGCCACCGGGTGCCTATGG